AGGATGCAGGGATGGCTCAACATGCACAAATTAACCAATGTGATATACCATAATCACAAAATATAGAAATTATAATCATCTCAATAGATACAGAAAAAATATTGATGAAACTCAACACCCATTTATGATAAAAACTCTTAACAAAGTGGGTATATAGAGAATGTACTTGACATAGTAAAGACCATATATGACCTTTCTATAGCTAATATCATGCTCAATGGTGAAAAGCTGAAAGTTTTTCCTGTAAGATCAGAACAAGACACTTTTGCCACTGTTATTCAAAATTGTATTGGAAGTTCTAGCTATAACAATTAGGTCAGATAAAGAAATAAAAAGCATACAGTTTGGAAAGGAGGAAGGACAACTATCACTATTTATAGATGACATGATGCTATTTGTAGAAAACCTTAAAGACTCCACCAAAAAATTTTTAGTGCTAATAAATGAATTAAGTAAATTTCATGGATACAAAATTAATATATAAAAATATATTGTGTTTCTAACACTAATAAGAAGTTATCAGAAAGAGAAATCAGGAAAACAACCTATTTACAATTGCATCAAAAGGTATAAAATACCTTGGAGTAAATTCAACTAAAGAGGTGAAAGACCTGTAGGCTAAAAACTGTGAACTATGACACTAATGAAAGAAACTGAAGGAAATACAGGTAAGTAAAAACATATCCAAGTTCATGAATTGGAAGAATTAATATTGTTAAATATCCATACTACCCAAAGCAATATACAGATTCAATGTAATCCCTATCAAAATTCTAATGACAAGGGCGCCTGGGTAGCTCAGTGGGTTAAGCCTCTGCCTTTTGCTCAGGTCATGATCCCAGGGTCCTGGGATCAAGCCCCGCATCGGGCTATCTGCTCATTGGGGAGCCTGCTTCCCTCTCACTCTCTGCTTGTCTCTCTGCCTACTTGTGATCTCAGTCTGTCAAATAAATAATAAAAAACTCTTTAAAAAAAATTCTAATGACATTTTTCACAGACCTAGAACAAATAATTCTAAAATTTGTGTGGAATCACAATAGAACTTGAATATACAAAGCAATCTTCAGAAAGAAAAAGCCAGAAGTATCATTCTCCCTGATTTCAAATTATACTATAAAACTGTTGTAATCAAAACAATATGATATTGGCTTATAAACAACCCATAGATCAATGGAACAGAATAGAGAGCCCAGAAATAAACCCATATATATATATGAGTAATTACTCTACATCAAAAGGAGCACAAATATACAATGAGGAGAGGATAGTCTCTTCAATCAATGGTGTTAGGAAAACTGAACAGCTATATACAAAAGAATGAAGCTGGACTACTACCTTACAGTATACACAAAAATTAACTCAAAATGGATTAAAGACAAATGTAAGACATGAAACCATAAAATGCCTAGATGAAAACACTGGCAGTAAGGTGCTTGACATTAGCTTTAGTGTTGTGTTTTGTTTTTTGGATCTGATTCCAAATGCAGGAGTAACAAAAGGAAAAATAAATGAATCTACAGCAAACTAAATAAGCTTCTGCATAATGAAAGAAACCATGAAATGAAAGGCAACTTGCTGAATGGGAGAAGACATTTTCAAATCGTATCTCTGATAAGAGGATAATATCCAAAATATATAAAGAACGCATACAAATTAATAGCAAAAACATAATCTGATTAAAATGGATGGAGGCTCTGAATAGACATTTTCCTGAAGAAGACATACAGATGGGCAACAGACACATGAAGATGCTCAACATCATTAATCATCAATGATTAACGCAGGGAAATGCAAATTAAAACCACAATGAGATATTACCTCACACCACTTAGAATGGCTTTAATTAAAAAGACAAGAGATAACAAGTCTTGGCAAAGATGTGAAGAGAAGGGAACCCTCAGGCACTGGCAGTATGGGGGTTCTTCAATAAATTAAAAATAGAACTACCATATGATCCAGCAAGTCTACTTCTTGATATCTATCTAAAGAAAACAAAACACCAATTCAAAAAGATTTATGCATCCCCATGTTCATTGCAGCATTCTCAGCAGTAGGAAAACAACCAAAGTATCCCTCAATTAATGAATGGATAGAGAAGACATCACACACACACAAAAACGTATATTACTCAGTCATGAAGAAGAATGAAATCTTGCCTTGAGGGTATTATGCTAAGTGAAATAAGTCGGGCAGAGAAAGACAAATGCCACATGATTTCAGTTCTATGGGGAATCTAAAAAACAAATTAAACAACACATAAACCAAAATAAAACCAAGACTCATAGATACAAAGAATGGAGTGGTGGTTGCCAGATGAGAGGGGATTTGGGAAATATGAAATAGGTGAACAGGATCAAGAAGTACAAACTTCTACTTATAAAATAAATAAGTCATGGAGATGTGATGTACAGCATAGGGAATTCAGTCAATGCTTTATTAACTTTGCATGATGATAGATGGTAATTAGACTTATTGTGGTGATCAGTTTTCAGTGTATCTAAGTATCTAATCACTGTGTTACACACATAAAACTAATATAATATTGTATGTCAATTATATATCAGTTTAAAAAATGATGAAATCATTTGTAGTGTTGATTATCAAAGAGAAGTACAGAAAATGTTTACTCCCAATATAGGGGACTCAAATGCCTGAGCCAGCTATCAAAGTTCATCTTACTTTATATTAGAAAAGAAATAAAGAGGAAATAATATTTCTGAAAATGATTTCAACTACCAATTAAATGAGAAGAAGTTTGCTGTTAACCATAGTTATTAGGTTCCTTTTATTACATGGAGAAAACATCTTATAAAGGAAGTAACTTTCAAGAATGATTCTTACTCTTAATAATAGGACTCCATTTTAACATAAGTATGTATTGAAGCAAGAAATATATAAGTAGCATATAAATATCTAATACTTAACATGGCTCTTAGCAATTATGGCTATTCATACCTTGGGTTATTCAACATTCAGGCCAATAGAAAAGAAAAAATTATTGTGTGAGATTTCCTAAGTATTTGGAACTACCGTCACAGGGCAATTCTAGTATGAAAGAGGTCATGTCATGTTGGAGATTAATCTTCAACAAATTTATGACTTGCTCTGGCTCAGATACTTAAGATCAACTGTTATTCAAGGGCAATGTCTAATAAGTGTAGACTTTAGCCTCTCATTTATATGCAAAATTAGTAACTACAGTAGGAAAAAAATCGGTGTAAAGATTGGAATCTTTAATCCATTTTAGAATACTCTTTCAAGGACAAGGCTTATCATCTTTTTTCTTTTTTAATTGTTTAGGGTAAGTTCTCCTAGTGCTCTGATCCTTTTCCCTTTTTTTCACGAGATAAGTTCAGTTTTCTTTATTTAGACCATGTATGGCATATTGTTTTTATTTATCACCAAATACTGAGTCACCTACAGGTTAAGCCTCAAAATCTATGACTGAAATTGTTTAATGTTCCACTTTCAGAAATTTTTATATAGCATTTTGCTTTAACTAGAGAGTATCTTCCCATATTGTGCTTGAAGTTACAGAAGTGAGTTACAGGTTAATGTCTATAAAATCAGCTCCACAGTTTTGTGAAAATCTCACTTTACAACTGGATATGTTAAAATATACTTATTCTTCCTTGTGAAGAAGAAAGATGTAACAGTTGCTTCTAGGAGAGGTCGGCAAGAATGTAGCGTTTTTCCTGAAAATGGTTATAATGCACATAGATACATCAAAGATTTGGCAAGCACATACTACACCATACAGGCTGGTTAGTTCATTAATGTATTAAGTCATTGAAAGATAGACTAAAACACTTTAGCCTGGGACTTGGGTTCTGTAACTTCAGGATGATTCTTTAATCCTTCATGCTCAAGTGAGTAGACTGGATTTCCTTCTCACGGAGATATTATGCCCTGGTATCACTCAATTTCTTTATCGTCTTTTATAATTTTTTTCATTAATATCATATTTATATGTTTCATAGTCATATGGCAGTTGGAATAAAAACCTAGTTAGATGAGTGTTGTAATAGTTCCATTCTGAGTTGCAACCTTGAATTCGGAATTCTGAGAACTCACCTTTACATTTGGATCTTTCAAAACTTTTGAAATTATATAAATGAGCCATAAAAGCTGCTACTGAGATTGTGAAAATGGAGTTACTGAGGCCTGAATTCTGAGAGAATTCTGTTTCTGGAACCACTGCTGTAGATCTACATAGAGAAGCCTGTTATTTTCAGATTTCAAGAAACAGTATAGCAACACAGTTATAAACAGCCAGTTGAGAAAGCCATTAAAATGAAAATGTCCAGAAGTTAAAATGACAGTTGTGAAAAGTAAAACAAAAATACATAAATTGTTAAGTTCTGAAGCACATTCTTCTTGATCAGAAATCCCTCCAAGTAGAGTTTGGATCAGATTCATTAGAGGGAATCATGTTTCCATTCTGAGTGAACTCTGCTGCTGGTGTCTTACCCTTGGTGACAAAGTCACAGAGCTAAAGCCTGCGGTGTTGTGTGTACGTACAAATATTCCTTCCGTATTTTTCTTAGTGTTTCACAAAAAGACTCTAAAGCAAATAGAAAGATGATTTATGTTGATCTTGACAAATGTAGTCATAAGAGAAAGGTGGGGACTGATTAGATAAAGATGTAACTTTTTCATGATCATTCCCGCAGTACTGAAAAAAGCAGTGAGAGTTTAGAGAAACAAATATTATAAGAATGTAAAATGGAAGTACATGGAAAACAACCTGAAGTATGCTTTTGGTAATCCAGCTTTTTTTTTTTTTAAATTAACTATCTGATCAAATTCAGTATTCCTTGTTCAATGTGATAAGAAGTGAAGACAGTAGCCCTGGATGCATACTTTTGCATGTAGCAGGCTGTTCATATGTGGCTGGAGCCTTGCCTTTAGTCAAGAGCAGATGCACGCCTAGGAGGGGTTCTTCTTTTCTTTTCTCTGTATGTTAGAAGGCTTCTGAAATGTTTATGATTGATTCTTAGGTCAAGAGTACAATTTTCTGAAGATGGAGCCTGGAGAAGTGAACTCACTTGGAGAAAGATATGACTTTGACAGTATTATGCACTATGCCAGGAACACCTTCTCAAGGTTGGAGTCTCAGGTTATACCTTTTGACTTTTAATTCCTTTCCTCTGTGTGGCTCCTCACAAGGCTGTGTTTAACATTAGAACTAGAACAGTTTTCAAATGCTGTTGCCATTAAGTACAGAAATACTTGATTGGTATTTATAGCCAACACTAGCATTTGAGATTTTAAAAACATATTTTCACATTTCCTATCAGATACATAAATTTAGAGTAAAAATTAAAATGGTATGAATTATATAAACTATTTTACATTCCTAAATCACTTTAAAAAGTCCAACTAAAATGATTATTAAACCACTTAGCATATTAAATTGGCTTAGCAATATTTAATGAAAATTAGGCATTCACAAGTCAAATAGGGTACATGGTTGTTGAGTTGGAGTGTCTACTGTCTATGTGACTTGTGTTTTCTACTCTGTGTTTTCTGTTGCTCAAGTGTGAGTTATGCTATTTTAATTCCCAAAGAACATATTATGAAGATAATTTTACTTTATATAATTTAGAATTTCACAACTTTTTAAACTTAAAGTCATTTCATTAAATATTGAATGCTATTTTTAAAGAATGAAATAAATTTGGATTTCAGTTATTTTGTTTTAAATAGGATGTCATCAAGCAAATAGTTCCCAGGTAAGAAATTTGGATCTGTCAAACCATTGAAGTCATCCCCTTCCCGTTTTTACGCCTAGTTTACACTCTTGTCCTTTCTGATTTATTCTTTTTGGCCACTTATGGCCATTTCACAATTCATCAAACATCTGTTTCTAAAGGCAGGATTGGAAAGAAGATAAGAATTTCAAATTAATGCCCCCCCTCTTTTTTTTTAACTTTAAAAAAAATTATTATTTTTTTAAGTAATCTCCATACCCACAGTGGGGCTTGAACCTACAACCCTGAGATGAAGAGTCATGTGCTCTACTGACTGAACAAGCCCCCTAAAAAAATTCCTGATAAAAAGTAAGAAAAGTGTGTCAATGAACTCTTAATACCTGGATACATTTTTCAGTTATGCTTTTTTAAAAAGAAAAAAACTGTATTATTTGAAAGATTGAATGTTAATTGTATTTTAATATAATTATTAACAATATTTAATAATTATTTTCTACTGAAGTGATATGTGTGTGTATGTATGTATATACACACACATATGTGCTTGTTTAAATATAATAACCACCCAAACACTTATGGTTTCTGAAATCGAATTTAAGTTTTGGTAGAAATACATGCATAAATTTGGCCTGAAATTAATTTCAAAGAGCTATAACATTTTATTTTTAGGTCAATGCTTGGAATTGACTTTTCTGTGGAAACATAACAAATGGGATTTGGGTCCCAGTTCAGCCAAGACACCTCTCATATACTACTGGATTATTTATAACTAGGTGACTTTTGATTCTTTGGAACACAGGAAGTAGTGGAAAGTAGAGGAAATCATTCATTCTTTCTATCTTTGATAAATGATGAATCTATGCCAAAATGTAAAATATATATTTCCCCTAATTCTGCATTTCTTTAACATGTTTAAGTTGTTTCTTTTCCTTCTTTTCCATAAATCATTCTGCCCTTGCTACCTGCACTGCACCATCCCCACGCCCCACACCATGGTGCTGTGTGCCAAGCCACCTTGACCTATTATTTTGTCTTACTGTTTCAAAATTATCCTATTCAGTTTTCCTAATGAACTTATATTCTTAGAGTGAAAGTAGTTATACCTACCTGTTAGAAGAGTTGACCGAACCAACATTATTTTATCCTTTTGATTTTTAAAGAGGATATTTATTAACTTCTATGTATATTTAAATAACTGAATTCCAGGAGACAAAATATTTGGCACAGTTCTTAGCCAGCACCTCCAAGGTATTTGAAGTTTTGTGTGTGTGTGTGCATTGTTAAAAACACAAAACATAAAATTTATAATCTTAACTATTTCTAAGTGTACAGCTTAGTAATGTTAAGTATATTCACATCATTGTGAAACAGATATTTACAATTTTTTCATCTTGCAAAGCTGAAACCCTATGCCCCCGCCTGTGAAACAACAGTGCCCCATTTTCCCCTCTTGGCAGCCCTGGTAACTACTATTCCACTTTGTGTTTTGTGAATTTAGATTTAGATACTTTAGATACCTCTTTAAATAGAATCATACAATATTTGTCTTTTTGTGCCTGGCTTGTTTCACTTAGCACAGTGTCATCAAGGTTATGCATGTAGCAGCATGTGACAGGATTTTCTTCTGTTTTAAGGCTGCATAATATTCCCTTGTAGGTATAGACCATATTTTGTTTATCCACTCATCCATTCATGGAATTTGAGTTGCTTCCATTTGTTGGTTATTGTGTATAGTGCTGCTATGAATATGGGTATGCAAATCTCTTTCCCAGACCCTGTTTTCAGTTATTTTGCATATATACCCAGAAGTGGTATGTGCCATATGATGGTTCTATTTTTAAGTTCTTGAAGAAACTCTATGATGCTTTCTGTAGTTACTGTACCATTTCACAATCCCACAGCAGTGCACAAGTGTTCCAATTATTCCATATCCTTACTAACATGTATTATTTTCTGTTTCTTTTTTTTCCTTTTATTTTTATTTTTTTTTTTCAAATAGTAGCCATCTTAATGGGTATGGCATGATGTTTTATTGTGGTTTTGATTTGCATTCTCTCATCTGCAACTTTCAATGATGTTGAACATCTTTTCATGTGCTTTCTGGTCATTTGTGTATCATATTTGGAGAAATGTCTATTCAAATATTCTGCCCACTTTAAAGTCATATTATTTAATTTTTTGTTGTTGAGTTGTAGTATTTCTGTCTATATTCTGTCTCCTTCTTACATACATACTTAGCAATTTTTTTTGTCTTTGCTGCATAGTAGCTTTTTAATTTGATACAGTTCCACTCACCTATTTTTGCTTTTGTTAATTGTGTTTTGGTGTCATATCCAAGAAATCATTGCCAGATCCAATGTCATGAAGCTTTTCCTCTGTTTTTATGTAAGAGTTTTATAATTTGGGGGTTTGTGTTTAGATCTTAAAATGTTCTGAGTTAATTTTTGTATATAGCTAAAATAATTGTCTAACTTCATTCTTTTGCACATGGCTATATAGTTTTCCAACCTCATTTGGTGAAAAGATTGTTTTTTTCCCACTGAGTAGTTTTTGCACCCCTGTTGAAAATGATTTACGATATTCACTAGGGTTTACTTCTGAAATTCCTTTTCTATTACATCGGTCTGTAGGTCTGTCTTTATACCAGTATCACACTGTTTTGATTAGTTTAGTAATGTCTTTTGAAATCAGGATGTGTGAGTCCTTTAACTTTGCTCTTTTTCAAAAATTTTTGTCTGTTTGAGGTTCTGTGAGATTCCCTGTGAATTTTAGGACTTTTTAAATTTCTGTGATAAATGCCATTGGGATTTTGAGAGAGATTGTGCTGGACCTGTAGATCATTTTGAGTAGTGTGGACATCTTAACAAACTAAGTTGTCTAATCCATAAGCAACAGAATATCTTTCCATTTATTTGTGTCTTCTTTAATTTCAGCAATGTTTTGTAGCTTTTAGTGTACAAATCTTTCACCTTTTTGATTGGGTTTATTCCCAAGTACTTTATTCTTTTTAATGCTATTGTAAATGGAATTGTTTTTCTTAATTTCCTTTTCAGAATATTCATTGCTATTGTGTGTTGTTTTTTTTTAAAGATTTTATTTTTATTTACTTATTTGAGAGAGAGAGACAGATAGTGACAGAAATAGCAAGAGAGAGCCTAAGCAGGGAGGGGAGGGAGAAGCAGGTTCCCACTGAGCAGTAAGCCACACATTGGGCTCGGTCCCAGGACGCTGGGATCATTACTTGAGCTGAAGGCAGATGCTTAACTGACTGAGCCACCCAGGCACCCCTTGTGTGTTGATTTTGAATTCTACAACTTGGTTAAATCTGTTTATTAGTTCTCACTTTTTTTGTGTGATTTCTTTAAGGTTTTCTATATATAAGATTACATGATCTGCAAAGAGAGATGATTTTAATTCTTTCTTTCCTATTTAGATGTCTTTCACTTCTTTTTCTTGCCTAATTGTTCTGGCTACAACTTTCAATACTATGTTGAGTAGAAACAGTGAGAGCAAGGATTTCTGTCTTGTTCATGATCTTAGATGAAAAACGTTCAGTTTTTCAGCACTGAGTATGATGTTTGCTGTTGGCTTTTTACTTATGGTCTTTATTATGTGGAGACAGTTTCCTTCTATTCCTAGTTTGTTAAAAGGTTTTCATCATGAAAGGTGCTCGAATTTTGTCAAATGCTTTTCCTATATTAATTAGATGAACATGTGTTTTTTGTTCTTCATTGTTAACGCAAGTATGTGCAATTTTATTCTTTCTTCTATTCTGAACCCAGGGAGTCTATAAAAAGTTTTAGCTGTCTTCATGGATTTAGTCCATCAGCAGATTTAGGTACTTACTTTTAGGAAGAACAGGGCTAGATATATGTGGCCTTTGTATGCGTGGGTAATTTGTGACTAGAGGCTTGCTAACTGGGATTGTCCATTTTTCTTTAATGAAAGAATTGCAAAGTTTTACAAAGTTTCTTAAAGAAACCTAGATAATTCACTCTTCTAATGTGGGTAGAATAAATGAAGATTAGTAAGTGAAGCCCTTTGTAATCTGTCACTGGACTATTGATAGTGCCTCACTGAGGATATTCAGGAAGAGTCTGTATTGCTTAATGGCCTGGATGTGGAGGGAGAGAATTGTTAACTTCCTGACCACAAAGGAAGAACAAAATAAAGGTGATTGACCCCTTCTGAATGGAAGAGAAGTTATTACCTCAGTAGAGAGGAGTCAAAATTCATCATTCTATTGTCTGAGTTTGAATATATCTGTCAAGATGTCCTTGACCTTTTAAAACTGAACTGTTTTGAAAACTGGAAAAAAATGAACCTTTTAAAGATTACGATTCTGTTTTTAGAATTAGAAAATAATGAATATTTGTTGGTACTGAAGTACTGCAGAAATGATAACTGTGGAGGCTGAGAAAAATTAAGGCCATCCCACCTCAGGTTTAGCCTTAGCATAAGTACAGCCATCTTAGTTCCGGCATCCATCTCAGACCCCTGTGCCCAAGGGCTGAACTTTCCCCTACTTTACTTTAGTAACAAGAACCCCCACCCTGCTTTAGTTCCAGAGACCCCCACCCTGCTTTAGAAACAGGAAGCCCCACTCTGCTTTGGTTCCAGAAACCCCCACCCTGCTTTAGTAACAGGAATCTCCACCCTGCTTTAGTAACAGGAACCCAGAAATACCCCTGCCTTAACTAAGCTCAGGGTCCAAGCCCCTACTCCACTGTGTCAGGTATACTTGAGCCCAAGCTTAAGCTTGTTGAATAAACCCTCGTGTGATTGCATCGGTGTTGGTTCCTTGGGGCTCTCAGACGCGAAAACTCCGGTATAACATTTGGAGGTTCCATCGAGATCTGGGAGACTCCCAGGACCCCAACCCGGAGGGTCTTGCGCCGGCTGGTGAGTGCACTCATTTTTATCTATTTGCGTGCATACTTTGGGAGCTCCACTCTGCATTTTTACCGGTAGGAATTCCAACTTGTGTCTGGGTTGACTGGGTCGACCATTGGCTCAAGCGGACGGGTGGCGGCCGGTCCCCCGGGGGGGCTTGGGAGACGTCCCTTGCACCCCCAGGGGGTTCGAGTCCCCCGCCGTTTCAGGGAGTTAGAGTCCCCCTAAGCAGTCACCAGGGGGTTTGAGTCCCGCACCGTTTCAGGGGGTTAGAGTCCCCTCAAGCGGTCACCAGGGGGTTCGTGGTCCCCCAAGGCAGCTTGGCTGAGGAGCCAATGGGGCGAAGCTACCATCTGTGGGATTATGACTGAACACCTCTAAGTCAGAATCCCGCCCAGGCAGAACGATATGGCAGCGCTGCGGCGCCTCGGTTGGCCTCGGATAGCCGGTCCCCTGCCGTCCCCGCCGGAGGACCACTGACTGCGCCCCACGTGGCATGGCGGACCTGGCCGCGCGGACCGGTCTGGTGTGGAGAGCCCCTCATCCCCGGAAACAGGGCATGGCCAGAAAGGGGGTCGCCACCTCGCCAGTCATGCAACGCACGTTTGTGGGGAACCTGGTGCTAAACTATTTGTAGACGACCTGCTTCTGGGTCGGGGTTTCATACGTAGCAGAGCAGCTCCCTCCCTGCGATCTATTGAAAGGTCAGCCCTTGGGCACAGGGGTCTGAGATGGCTGCTGGAGCTAAGATGGCTGTACTTATGCTAAAGCTAAACCTGAGGTGGGATGGCCTTAATTTTTCTCGGCCTCCACAGTAACCCTTCATTAATTTGGGCTTACCTAATTAATATATCTGTTGATTTATGAAGCAGACTTGAAAATGGCTTTTCTCAGTATTGCCCTATTTTATAGCTCAACTTCTTCCATCGCATTGACCTAGTTGGAGTTGCATCTTATTAAGTATGGGCAACCTCTCACTTTTGCTGGTCTATTCCCATAAGTTATTAGTTCCCCCTCCCTCCCTTTATCTCAAGCAATATGCATGTGGAGTTCTGTAGATACTTAGATTTGTAAAGAATTCCATTCTATATTTGTGTTATCCAGGTTTTATCTAAAGATCACTACCCTTACCTAGGAGCCAGAGAGGTTAGTCATAAAGCACTCATAGATCATGTCACTCCTCTGTTTACCACCTTCCAGATGGTAACAGTTTTCCTTAGGCTAAAAGTCACATTCTCTGTGTCACACTCAAACACTTTAAGGATCCTCCCATCTCTGAGCAGTTGGATTTCCTATTCTTTCTTTCTGGAATTCTCTACTATTTACTCATAGTGCCCTCACCTTCATTTCCTTCATGTTTGGCCAAAATGTCAGTTTCCAAGTGAGTTTTTCTTTGATCACTCTATTTAAAAGCTACTCCATCAATGGATAATCAATGTCCATCTTCACTTCTTTTTCTCCATAATACCTGTTACTATCTCAGTACTCAATCTTTTGTTTAATGTCTCTTGCCCTACATTAAAATGTGAGAATCATAGTGTATCTTTTATTACTGGCTACAAATCCAGACCTATAACAGTGTTTAGAAAGTATTTCCTAATGGAAGGAAATGTTCTCTCTCTCTCTCTCTCTCTCTCTCTCTTTTTTTTAAAGATTTTATTTATTTATTTGACACAGAAAGAGAGAGATCACAAGTAGGCAGAGAGGTAGGCAGAGGAAGAGCGGGAAGCAGGCTCCCTGCTGTGCAGAGAGTCTGATTCTAGGCTTGATCCCAGGAACCTGAAACCATGACCTGAGCTGAAGGCAGAGGTTTAACCCACTGAGCCACCCAGGCACCCAGGAAATGTTTTTTTTAACTTGTAGTCTAAATACAATTTGTTCATTAAAATTTTGGGAAAGAGTGTCATGCCTTTCATCCTAGTTTAAAAGATTTTTTAAAATTTTATTTCTTAATTTCAAATACTTTTATAAAAAGCTTCTTCTTCTTTTTTTTTTTTTTTAAATCCTTATCTTTCTTCCCACTGGAATAGTTTCCCAGTCCTTTTAACTTTTAAGCTCAGTTCTTCATTTAGAGTTATAAATGTTGATATTCACTGAAAAATTAAGACTGTATCTTTAATGCATTACATTCAAAATTTTTAGTTTTGAAGATTAAGAAAGATGATCACAACCTTAGTTATCTCACAACTTGGTTTCTCCAGCTTAACATTATCAGGACTTTGCCATTGATAGTTTTTTTTCTTCTTCTTAATTTTACTGTGAAAATTTTATTCTGTGTGTGTGTGTGTGTGTGTGTGTGTGTGTGTGTGTATCAAAAAAGCTGTTTTGCTTTAAAACTGTTCTTTCTAAAATTTATACTCTTTTTTTCCTGTTCTTTTAGCATACTGTAATACTTGAACTTCTAAGAATATATAGGTTAAATTAACAATTAAACTAAAAAATAACATACATTTTGTTTGACTTTTATAATTTTGGTAACCTCAAAAATGTGTATTGTAGGTTGCCCTTAAAAAATAGGCTTCTATAAGGAAAATTATTTTACAATTTAGTAATCCAAGGGGTTCTTAGATTTGTTTAAGAGCCTAAAACAAAAGCCATGGTGTACTTGATAGGAGACTATAGAGAATTCTAGATTTTTAAAATGATTTCTAAGTAAAAGTGAATTTCATCATTGACTTTATGCTAGATATAGAATTTAACCCCGATTATTTTTTTTCTACTTTGATAAACATGTTTTGAAAGTCTGGCACACTATTTGAAGTTCAACACTGATGTATTTTCCCTTTAACTGATGTGAGTCTGAAAAAAAAAATAATCTTATACTTGTAAGGAATGTATGTGACTTAATTTGGTGACTTATGTGTGGCTTGCTTCTGATTTTTTTCAGGGGGATGTTTCTGGATACTATTCTCCCCTCTCGTGATGATAATGGCATACGTCCTGCAATTGGTCAGCGAACCCGTTTAAGCAAAGGAGATATTGCACAGGCAAGAAAGCTGTATAGATGTCCAGGTATTGCACCATACAAAAACAGAACCATAATTGTGCCTGATTGTGTTCTTCCAGATGAATAAGCCACAATTCACTGAGCTGTTTACTTGTGTCTCTCCATGCTGGCAAGTGACGTATTCGGTTCAAAGTCAGCAATCATAAAATGAAATGAGAGAACTCTGGAACACTCATTGATATAATTAAAAACAAATTGCTAGAAATCAAATTTAAGCAGGGATAGTATTTTTTTTAAACAGAGTTAGCATTTTTTTCTTTTAACAAGTAAACGAGCAAAAAGCATGATTGTCTGATAGTTGTTATTAAATAGTTGCAGGATTTCATAGTCAAATGTTGAGCTTCCTTGCCAAAATAAAAAGAATATCCTTTATTTCAACTTCAGAATTGAGGACTGAAATGATCTTTCTCTTGCAAGTACCACCATTAATGATATATAAATTAAAATTTTATTAGTTGGAATGTATAACGTTGGTGCAAAAAAGGAGTTCTAACAGTGTTGCTAGTGAGTTACCATATGTTTTGCTACTGGCTAAAGTTATGAAAAAGAGATTAAAGGAAGTTCTTAGTAAGACTGTTCCAAGGGAACACCAGTGACTTACTGGTCCAAAAAAGAAAAAAAGAGTCTGCTCTCAAATTGGAAAAGGTGCATTCTCTGTGCACCTCCTACATAGTCAAAATTCCTTGAAATAACATATATCAAAAAATATGTTTTATTTTGGTTAGCACAGTTTTCCCCCAAATTTTTGTTCACATATGTATGTAAATTACCCATGTATGTGTAGTATTTATTTTTTTTAAATACATTTTTCCACAGGAAAGATGTATTTATAAATAAATGGCACCGCTATGACAAAAGAATTGAGTGATTCTTGGCTAATTTCTGGCAGTACTGAATATATTATACTTTTTAACTTTGAAAGAAGATTTGGGGGAGGATTGTATGATTAATAGCAACTAAGTAAATACTTCACATAGAAAGCCATTTTGTCTGTCTCTCTCAATACGTTTGTGTGTGTATGTGTATATAGATAGATAGATAGATATATCTATATATTTATATCTCATTTAAAAACACACTGGACACGCATTTCTAACACTGAATTATAAGACGATCAGTCAGTAGGAAACAGGAAAGTAATCAAACTTATGAAACTGTAATTTTCAGTCTATAACTCTTAAATATTTGTTACTAATGAGAAAATACATATAAGTTTTCACTTGAGGCTTTATTTATATAAATACATAAACAGACTGCTTTTCTTACTTGAAACAGTATAATATATAATATATAGATTGGTTTGTTAATGCAGTAAAACCATATTTATGAAGGTACCATCATCAATGTAAAAGATATCTTGTGTTTTTAAAGCAATGTAAGAAAGTTGCTTATTTACTTGCATGATGAAGTAAGAGAGAGCTAAGACATATAAATATGTAATTAAAAAAATAAAAATATCTGAACATTTAGTTCACTAAATCTTTAAGAATGGTTTGTTTTTTCTATCTTGGACATTTTAATGCCCACCAAACAGGTCCCTCCCTTTCTCTCTTTTTTCCATCTTTTGCTCTTTGTTTCCTTCTCTCTCCCTCTGAGCCATTGTGTGTGTGTGTGTGTGTGTGTGTGAAGTCCTTAGCTTTGAGCCTTGAGCCCTATATATGGTTATGAATTTAACATTCTCCATTTCTTTACAATGAGGAACATTAATGATATTGGTAGAAGTATAGGACAAATAAACTTACACTAATAAATAAAGTTACTAATAATAAAGTTACACTAATGCAGTAGGTTTACCAGTAGCTCCAAGAACATTAATGGAATAAGGTGAAAGACTGATAAATGGACATGGAAGTGTGAATAGTATGACTTATTTGAGAATCATCTAGGAAGAGTGTAGGGGTTTATAAAATGAAATCTGGATGTGTCTTGGTTTTAATACTGAAAGGAGAGAGTTGTAAAACTGCATAGTCCCTTGGAGTTTGCCTTATTGTTTTCTTTTGTTAGAAATTGCTAATGAGGGGCGCCTGGGTGGCTCAGTGGGTTAAAGCCTCTGCCTTTGGCTCCGGTCATGATCCCAGGGTCCTGGGATCATGGGTCCCGCATCGGGCTCTCTGCTCTGCGGGAAGCCTGCTTCCTCCTCTCTCTCTCTCTGCCTGCCTCTCTGCCTCCTTGTGATCTCTGTCTGTCAAATAAATTAAAAAATTTAAAAAGAAAATTAAAAAAAAAAAAAGAAATTGCTAATGAATAGGACCAATCAGAGGTATTTGGCTGTATCACTCCAACTCTTTACTTCTTATCAGTTTACTCTCCAAGCTGTTTTGGATCTGCATTTTATAGAAGTATTCCTTAAACGTTTAATCTTGAAAGGAATACCGACCTGGTTCACACTTAAATATTTAAGGTTGTAGCTTTTATGGTCTGTGATAAGTGGGGCCCTGAGGCCAAGAGGGCAGGTTTCTAATAGGCTAGTAATAGGCAGACTGCAGATATTGTTGTCTTTCCATTAATAATATAGGAAATGGTTTTTATCTATCAGAAGATGAGCAGCATTAAAATGCATGCATTTTTAATTCCCTTAAAAGAATATAAACTACTAATTTTTATGATACTCTCTGGCTGGCAAACATCTTGTAATCCATTATTATAGTTACCTATTTTATATGCCAAATATATAAATTAAATTTGTATGGGAAATCTGAATTACTCATTGTACAGTTGGCACATACTCATCATGAAAAACTCCATGTAGGAATAAAGTTGTTTTTAAGGTAATGGCATGAAAATGTTTCTTTTAGTTTAGAATTATTTTCATTGCCATTTCTTGTTCTTTTAGGATCAGTCAAGAGAGATCTCCTTATGCACTGTTAATATAAAGAAGAATATGATCCTTTACAGTCCTGGCACTCTTCTGACATAAAACCCCATTATTCATTGCCAGACCACATCCCAGAAAGAAGGAAGGGAAAAAAAGGGAGCGCTGCCCAGCCCTGGGATTGAATAGATTTCTGGACAGTGCTGCCTGAAAGCCAGTCCTGTGTCCTTCCCTCAGCTTTCAGGTCTTTCTAGCATTAAGGCATCTAAAAGGATACCCAGTAATGCTGCTTTACCTGTCTGCCATTATAATCTCTTGCATCCTACATACTGTAGGATTCTCCCCCAAGCAAAGATGGAGAATAGGTCATCATTACAGTCTCTAGGTCTCCTTTGTCCTTTTATGCCAGTAAAGGCATTAAAAAAAAAAGTAAAAAAAAAAAAAAAGCAGTTTGCTTTTTTTTTTTTTTTAATTTCTTTTCAGTGTACCAGAATTCATTGCTTATGCACCACACTCAGTGCTCCATGCAAAACGTGCCCTCCTTAATACCCACCACCAGCCTCACCCAACTTCCCGCCCCCCAACCCTTCAAAACACTCAGATTATTTTTCAGAGTTCATAGTCTCTCATGGTTCATCTCCTCCTCCAATTTCCCTCAACTCTTTTCTCCTCTCCATTTCCCCATGTCCTCTGTTTATTTCTTATGCTCCACAAATAAGTGAAACCATATGATAATTGACTCTCTCTGCTTGACTTATTTCACTCAGCATAATCTCTTCCAGTTCCGTCCATGTTGCTACTAAAGTTGGTTATTCATCCTTTCTGATGGAGGCATAATACTCCATAGTGTATATGGACCACATCTTCCTTATCCATTCGTCCGTTGAAGGGCATCTTGGTTCTTTCCACAGTTTGGTGACCGTGGCCATTGCTGCTATGAACACTGTGGTACAGATGGTCCTTCTTTTCACTACATCTGTATCTTTGGGGTAAATACCCAGTAGTGCAATTGCAGGGTGATAGGAAAGCTCTATTTTTAACTTCTTAAGGAATCTCTATACTGTTTAGGAGATCTTTTCCAGGATGTCTGAGTTGAAGTGGATATTTTTCTCTTCATAGTGGATATTTTTTCTTCAATAGTACACATTAATAGTGTGTACTATTGTTTCTCTTAGGAGGCCCTGTTTTTCTTGTGACTCTCATTTTTTAAATGTATTTTTTTCTATTTGATCTTATTTTAGGATTTACTTTCCTTTCTGATTTCTAAACTGCTTAGTTTAACTCTTCTCCTAGTATAGTCACTGGTCTATATTTGCATTTTCTCTTAAACTGGTTTTTCTGTAGTCCCATGAACTTTTTGCTCACTTAGTACTTCATCAACCATCAATCCTAATATTCTCCAGTAAATTTTCCCCAGTAAATATATCAAGTAACATAATAAAATTAGAGAAAATACAAAATAAAATATCTAAAAATAAAAGGCCTTCTGAGGATTAGAGTCTTCCTTATTACATAAAAGTGTATGTGTATTCACACATGAATACATGTACAGTCTATGTTCACAAATTTAAAAGTTTTCAGTGTTAGTACACATATAGTACGTGTGTGGAATACCCCTGTCCATGGATCCGCATTTGTGTGGACACTTTAGGGATGGAAGGCCAGTTTCAGTGTGTATGGGGTCTGAATATTGGAAACTTGACATTCCTTTAAACACTTTTTTCATTAACTTCACTTTTACAATTGAAATAAGGTTCTTATTAGTTACCTAAAGCATTAATCTCTTGGTTCCTGGTATAATTTTCTGAGATTCCTGACAGAATATACTTTCTACATGTACAATTCTTGGCTAAAATATTGCCCACATGCAAAAAATAGTAATTTTGCCATCCCCCCCCCAATTATTCATGGTCTCCTTTATTCATTTCCCTGTAAACTTTCCTTAGTTCAGTGGATGGTACCAGACATAGATCATCTGGCAGCCCAAGCCAAAACTCTGGAGGACATTCTCACCTCATTCCTCCCTCATTTTCTCCAGCTAGTCAGTCCTGCTGCCTTCTTGGAATCTTGCCTTCCTACAGTGAATCTCCTGGCCCTGGGAGCCTCATCTTTTGTCTGAATTGTTGAAATGCCTCCTATTCACCTCTTGCCCCTATTCTTATATTTCTTTAGTTCTCTGGGCATGCTGCTGTT